GACCAGCTGGCCTCTGATCAGACTTTTTCTGGGCTTCCCTCATGCTGACAGAAACACGCCAGGAAACAGTCATTGGGACCCACGTCCCCTAAACCAGATACGTTTTTCTGAAAAATCTCCACCATTGCGGAGAAGCTGCTCAGTGTTAACCTTGAGTTCTGGTGACTTGAAAGATGGTTCTCTTCAAGTGTCAGTGGCGTCAGACTCGCAGGAGGACCACAGGGCCCACAGGCCCACAGATCCACCTGTTGGTTTGAGAGCATGACCTTGTTTTCTTGTTCCCACTATTTGCCTAAGAAATACTGGCCTGAAATTGGGGGATCATATTAGAGGTCACTTAGGCTTTGAACAGATGGAGTGAAGTTTGAGTTAAGTTTACCTCCCCCTTTCTGTGCCTGGGAACTGTTTAATCCAGTTTTAGAATCATGATTTAACTTCTTTTTGGAGAAGCTTCTGTTTTAAGGAATTTCTCTTCGTCCTTACCCTGCCTCTACCCTCTCCTGGGAAGGCCTGGTCGTGGCTTCTAGAATCTCAGTTGAACTTCAGAAAACAGCAGCAGTATTTTCCCTTTCCTAGCACTCATATTCCTTTCCCTAGAAATCGGCTCATCTTGGGAAGCCCAGGGGGAGAATCCACAAGTTCTTGACCCTCCCTGGGGGTTGGGGAAGGACCCACCCGGTCAGCACAGTGCCTTTTCCTCTCCTGCTCTGAGCCAGGGTGGGCATTCCCTCCAGATTCAGGTCTGGGCAGCGGGTCTTATAGTCCCTGCCGTGGGGCTGCTTCCCCATCCCTTCCTCCCCCTCCCCTTGGCTGGCCAGCTCTGACCTAATTCAAATATCTCCTTGCCTCGAGGAGCCTTAAATGGCATCAAGTGGCAATGTGTAATACTATCCTCCGTGCCTCTCCAAAAGGACTCTTGAGAGCAGGTGAGCGTTCTAGAGTGAGAGATTAACAGATGCTCCTGTTTTAAAAAAAGAAAAAAAAGATTGAGGTGGGAGCAAGGGTGAGCTTTGGGCCTCCTTCTGCTGTGGCCTTGGGGGTAGGAGCCTAGGGGGAGGCTAAGTGATGGTGCAGAAGTAGAACCAGAAATACCCAGGATCAGTTCGGAAACCTTAGAAGAAAGCTGCTTATCTTCTATGGAAAGATGTAATTAGGGATCAAAAAGCTCTAAAGAAATTGCGAAGAAGCCTTAATGTTCAAGCTTTGGAGAGATCAGAGTAAAATTTCCCTTTCAGTCTGAGCTAGGACTCTCTGTATTTAGACCTCTCCTGAGGCAAGAGGTCGAGATTTCCTCATTTTGTTACAAGACTTCGATTGGCACTACCGGGTCAGCTGCCCGGCGAGGGCGGGTTTCTTCTCTGGACATGGGTGACTTGCTGCTGATTGGGTTTGTCCTTGCCCAGCTGCCTGTGCCTAGCCTGCTTTAGGTGGCCAACGCATTCTGATACGGGCAGGTGATCTGGGGACTGTCTGGGTTGGCAGGAAGAGAGCAGGCTGGATCTCTTGGGACGGGTCCCCCCTCCCCTGAGTATAAAAACAAGGAGCCAGGATGGTGCTGGCTGCCAGGGAAACAGTAGAGCCTGTTGGAGTTGGCAGAGAGGCCTTGGCACCTCTCGCATCCAGGCAGTCTTTTGAGAGGGGGGCACGGAGCACCGGGAGAAGCAGAACTCCATTCTCACCTCTATTTTGAGCTTCAGGGCTTTATTTCAGTACGAGGAACAACAACAACAAACTGGAGTGCGCTTTCCGCCCTTTCAAAGGACAACTGTTGGGAACGGAGGGCTGAGTTGCCAGGCGGGAGGGGAGAGCTGGCGGGATCGGCGTTGCAGCAAACCAGGAATGAGGCGCGCTCGACTCCTCTCTTCCCTGGTGTGTCATGATCCAGGGAATGAAAAGAAATTTGACCCTGGATTAGTTCCCTCCTTGGATTTTCCTTCCACCAAGTTCTCCCACGCTCAGACCAGCGGCCCCTTCAGCCATTATTGGCCTAACCGGCTTGTCAGGAAACCAGCAAGCCCCGTGCCCCCCAGACTGGGCCTGGCTGCCCTATTCTGTACCAAGTACTGGAGAATAGTGTCAAGTTCATGGTAGCCCCTGTAGCTGCTACTCTAGGTTCCCACCCTCTCCCTGCAGAGGCCAAACCTTACTACTATGTCTGTAGCCACAGCGCATTTACGGTGACACAGTGAGACGTGATTGAGGGGCTTTGAACCTGGCTGGCCCGGGCAAGCCGTAGGGGTGGATCGAGCTGTCTTTCCTTCTGGGCTGTCTCCATCTGTCCCTACCCCTTCCATGCCCCACCCTGCTCCCACCAAAAAGTTACAAAATCAGGATGTTTTTCACTGTCCATTGCTTTGTGTTTTAATAAACAATTTGCAGTGACACTCTGTGTCGGGATTGAGTTTGACCACAAAGAGGGGAGGTGATGGGGTGGGAAAAGGGAGACCCTGAGGTTGCCTGAGGATTCTCTCTGATGAATTGGGGAGCTTTTGTCCATTTAACCACGTGTCTTGCTTTTCTTTTCACTGGGATGTTTGGTTAAGGGAATGACGTTCTGTAAAACGCTGCCTGGCCATTTCACCCAGCAGCGCATTCAAGGGAAAATAAACAGTTATTTTGTTTCCACTTTCACTGGAGCACTAGGCCATGACTCTCACTTCCAAGGCACACAGAGCCCGTAGCTGCCTCCCCTCCTGTTTTCCCCTCAGCTTCCACGATAGCTTGTGGACAGGCTAAGCCATGGGACGGTTTTCTCTGCTTTTTCCTTTTCTGGTGTGTTGTCAGTGTTGACAAGGGAAGGGGCAGAAAGAGCAGGAAGGATTTTTCCCCCTATAATTCATCCGTCACATTTTACAACTGAGGAACAAAAACTTCAGTCATTTAGCTAGTCAGTAAATGGTCAAGCCCAAGGTGCAAACCCAGTCTGTCTGCAAAGCCCGCGTTCTCTCTAAGGCTACAAGAATAGTAATGACAGATACCGCTTATTGAGCCTTTGAAATGGGCCAGGCACAGTGTCAAGCACTTTGACAGTTGTTATCTGTTTAATCTCCAATAGACCAGTTGGTATTAGCCTTTAAGAGGCCAGGTGACTTGCCCAAGGCCACACAGCCAGCAAAAGGCAGAGCTGAGATTTTTACGCCAGGACTCGATCTTAAATCATTACTCTCTACTGCTTTCCATTCCCCTCTGATGCCACGCGACATGGCTCCAGTGCCTACTGCTGGATTTCTCCAAGCAGGAATGGAGGCTGCTGGTTTGGGGAGTGGGAGGGAGAGCTTGGCCTCCTCCCTCCCTCCCTCAGTTACCCTTGAAGGGTAGAATTCAGTGCTCAGCCCCAATAATGGAGCCAGTGTTGATGGAGTCTGTTCTCAGGGCCCAAATAAGCCAGGAGGCCCACAGAGCCTCTTTCTTAGTTTGAGCCCACCCATAACTGGAGTTCTTTACTAATTTAGACTTGGCTGTTACTATTTGAAGTAGCTTCGCATGAGCTGCCAAATGGGGAAGAGACCTGAAGAAGCCCTGCTCTAGGGACTCATAGGCAGGGAAATCGTCTGACAGAAGGTCTCGGGCCAAGAGCCGGGGTTGGGTTAAACCACTCATGGGTCCAGATCTTAATCTCTCTAAGGAAATCAGGCTCCCGGTTGGCTGGAGCCGAAGTGTCGGACCTTTCTCCATACTTAGTACCCCACGCCCCTCCACCCGCCATAGAGGAAGAGAGATGAGTTTCTTCATTTACTGGAAAGCCTGTTGCCATGGCAGTGGCAAGGGGTCACGGCAGAACGGAGGTGGAGCGGGAGGTCTGGAGTGGGTACGTCTTTGTTCTCCAGCAACCTGCAGTGGTAGGCACCTCACTGTCTGCTCTGGCCCTAGAGTCTTAGTTGTGTCTGTTGCTAACCACTTACATTAGTAAAAAATAGACCACTTGCTTCTTGGCTGGGGCCTCATCCTAAGACTCTCTTTCCTGGGTTTCTTTTCACGGCTTCTACTGGAATCTGTTGCTTCCTTCAGCCTTGGTCCCCAGCTCATTTCCTGTCCGCTCTGACTTGACTGTTCTTTTCAGTCACTGCACTCACCCATCCAGCTCCGTGGCTTCTCCCTGCCCAGGGTGCCTGTCCGCCCTTAGCAGAGGGTTCCTGGGGAAAGAGGCCACTTAAACGTATGGCCACAGTGACCCTTCACAGGATGCTCTCCCTGGCGCCAGCAGAGGGCTTTTCACTGCCGTGTTCGTCTCTTCACCACAACCCGAGGAAAGACTAGCCTGACTTACAAATAAGAAAACGAAGGCCCAGAGGGCATAAATGACCTGCCCAAGGTCACCTAGAGTGAAGACCGGAACTCAGCTCTAACCACAAAGCCCATGCTCTTAACGTCATGATGTGCTATTTTTAAGAGGGAACCTTTTATAACGTAGATAACTGAGGAAGCTGGGTGATGGTTACATGGAGGTTTATCATATTATTCTTTCTCTGAAAAACCAAGTAACCTTTTAAGACGTAGTGATACAAAATGCATAAGTACATGTAAAAAAATTATACGGGCTGCAAAATGGGAAAATTCATCTTTCTTAGTCCTAGCTCTTTAATCCCAAGAGGATAATGCAAGTGACAGTTTGTTGTGTATCTTGAGTTTTATGTGTATGTATAGATAGGTTCATATACACATATCTACATATATATTTATTGTGCACATGTGCAAGTGTTCCTTTGGAATTCCATTAAGGAATTACTGAATCAAACAGTATATGCCTTTAAAAATTTTGAAAGTTCTGCCTTCAGCAAGATTACATGCACTTCCATTCCGCTCAGCAGTCTTGTGCTGTATGACTTTGGAATGTAACAGGAATCCTTCATGGAAACAGGTGGGATATAAATAACAAATTAATGCTTAAAAAAAACCAAAAAACCAAACAGCCCTCAGCCAGGGAGAGAAGTGACTGGGTACTAGGGAAATGACTAGTTCTCAGTTTCCCGGACCACAAAGCCTGCCGGCAGTCCCAGCCACGACTCACTGATCCAGCGGATGCCACCTTTAGGGAGGCAGCAGGAAGGAGGACTGAACTTCCCCATCTCAGCAGAAAAAAGCCCTCTGAGGGGGAGGGCATAGCTCAGTGGCAGAGCACATGAACAAGGTCCTGGGTTCAATCCCCAGTCCCTCCATTAAAAACAAAACAAAAAAACCAATAAAAATAATAAAACTAATTACCCCCCCAAAAAAAGTTAAAAAATTTTTTAAATTAAAATTAAAAAGAAAAAAGCCTTCTGATGTCCTTCTTACCTTGGCTGCACCAGGTCCAGGCCCTACCTGCCTGGCCTGATTTGAGGCAGACTGCCTGGCTACTGTGGGACTGCCCTGGAAAACGGCCAGCGTCGCACCTCTCACAGTGAGGGAAAGACCCAGCTGAAGGAGAGGAACTGTAAAGCCCCGAGCTGGTTAAAAGGGAGGCCAGGCTTTCTACTCCAGTCTTCCCATGTCTGGCCCCAGGAAACCTTGGGGTTGCCATTTAATGCAGTAAATCTCTATTTTCCTTTTTCCACCAAACAGGCTACTAGTATATGTCCTTTCCAAAAAAAGAGCCTTTTAAAAAGAGCCTTTTAACATACCTTAGGAAGATTTGGTGTGGGGCGGCAGAGGCAGATTGGTGGTTTCAGCCCTAATTTTTCCTACTCCTTTCTAAAAAGGAATATTTATATATAGATTTTTCTTTTTGGTGTGTTTTCTATTCTCCAAAAGATAGCGTTTTTTTCCTTTTTATCCACAGTTTGTAGGTAGTGACCAGAGAGTATAGGCCTCAACTCCCATATGAGGCAGTATTTAAAATTCTTTGAATGGAAAAAAGTGATCAAGTTTGAGGTTACCTTTTTTTTTTTGAGGTTGCTTTTAAACCTTAAGAGATAATAAAGCTACTTTGATTTAGAGTCTGCCTTCCAGACACAGGTCCTAAGATAGATAGATAAAATATTTAAAAAATACCCCTTCCTTCACAATTACAAATACAAATATTCATTTTCTTTTAAATTTTAAACAAATGGAATTATGTGCCTTGTCCCCCGCCCTTTAGTGTACCTATCTTTGTGATCTCTCCACACCAGTACATAGAGCTGGATCTCATTCTTCGTAACAGCTGCATAACATGAATGGATGCAACTGTAATTTATTGTCATTTTTCAATGTTATGAATGGTCTTGCAGTAAATCTTAGTTCATATATATAGGCTAAATTCCTGGATATGGAATTGCAGGTAAAGAGGTTAATAACGTTTGTTATCATCCCTAGTAAGAGAAAAGCTCAGGTCCAGGTAACTCTCGTCCTCATGCTCTGAGAACATGGTTCAGTGAGCAAGTGAGTGTGGAAAATGGCTGTATGCTAAAGCCCCCTCTTGGGGATTCACAATCAAATATCTGGAAATTCTTCAATATCCACTCACTGCTGAGTAGTTTAAAAAGAATTGTTTGCAAAGGGAAAGACTTTAATTCTTTGTACACATCTTAAAATTTCCCTGAACAGTTTGGTAAGTCCCACCTAAGTGGTAATCTCTCAAAGACAGGATAGCATTTAGATAGGAACTTGACCATATACTGTTCCACCAGGCTGGGCAGCTGAGGTAGAGTCAGGCTTGGATTTTGTCCAGGAACCAGGCAAGGCCTGTTAGCCCCTCCCAAACCCCTCATGTCAAGTGAGGGGGATCCAGCAAGGCCTGCATAAATCATATCTTGAGTCTGACCATGGGGAGGGGCTGGAGTTTCACTTTGGCCTAAATCCAGCTAAGAGGTGACATCAGACCTAGCAGACACACTTTACATCATTCAGGCCCAGGCCTCCAACACATAAGAGCATGCATCCACAATTTCCAGAGAAGGAGCCACTTAGGGGTAGGAGGGCAGCATCCTCCCCGCTCCCACCCACCTCCTCCAATTGGTGAAATCATAATTAATTTCCAAGGCTCAGTGCAGATGTCACCCCTATGAAGCCTCTCCCTGATCCCTCAGGCCCCTCCTGTGTACAGCAGTTAGCAGTGTGGTTTGTCTTCTAGTTCATTCGTACTTACTAGGCTGGTCAAGAGGAAGGGCCACGTGATGGATTAGGTACTTCACCGTCTTTCCCAACAAAGTGGGAACTCCTGAGTAGCGCGGTGCTCTTCAGGCCTGTCTTCACTCATTCATTCAGTCATTATTGAGAGCCTACCACGTGTCAAGCATTAGCTAGACTGCCGGAATACAGTGGTGAATAAAGTGGACCCAATTCCTGCCCTCTTTTGTATTCTTATATTCCCAGGAGCCCGGCCCAGCGTCTAGTCCAAAGCTCGCACCGTAGGGTTTAGGAATGGCAATCTAATTGGAAAGCTGCCTTTTCACAAGCAGTGTCTTCACTTTCCTTCTAGGCTACAGATGAAAAAACATTTTCTCAAGATGCCTTATCTACAGTTTATATGACGGAAAAATCATTTGACCGTACGAAATACTTTTTAAACCTTTAGTTTGACCTTGGGGGCTTGATGGAGAATCTGGAGCGCTAAAGATGCCCGCCACCTGGCTGGACCAACATGGGCGAGAGGCGGGGCGACGCGGCCCGCAGCCCCGCCCCGGCCCCGCCCCCGGCTCCGGCCCCGCTCTCCATAGTTACGGCGCTGCGGAGGCGGCGGCCATCTTGGCGGCGGAGCGATGAGCGGGTCGAACTCCAAGGCTGCGTCCGCGGGCTCGGCGGCTGGGCCGGGGGCGCTGGTGGCTGGCAAGGAGGAGAAGAAGAAGGCGGGCGGCGGCGTCCTGAATCGGCTGAAGGCTCGGCGGCAGGCGCCCCACCACGCGGCGGACGATGGCATCGGGGCAGCGGTCACGGAGCAGGAGCTGCTGGCTCTGGACACCATCCGGCCCGAGCACGTCCTGCGCCTCGGCCGGGTCACCGAGAGTGA